ATCGCATGTAGAATTTTATGCCAAAAATCATTAGGATATTAAGTAAAGATCATGTTCCATGAAGATATTTTGTAAATTTCCTACCGTAAATATATCAAAACTTAATTTTTGATTAGTAATATGCATTGCTAAGAACTTCATTTGGACAACTTTAAAGATGATTTTCTCAATATTTAGATGTTTTTGCACCCTCAGATTCCAGATTTTCAAATAGTTGTATCTCAGCCAAATATTATCCTATCCTAACAAACCATACATCAATGGAAAGCTTATTTATTCAGCTTTCAGATGATGCATACATCTCAATTTCAAAAAAAATTACCCTTATGACTGGTTTTGTGCTCCAGGGTCACATATTGTCATTATTCAGCTCAAGTTAGTTCAGTGTTGGTTCTGTTCAGAAAGGGCATAATCACAATTTCACCTCTATTTATTAAGAATAATCATCTGTAATATTTGCTTGCTGGTTATTTATCCTGAAAACATTTCATGTTCATTTGGCATTTGCATTGGTAACAGGCCTCTACAAGCTTTCATGGTTGCGGTTGCCAGATTTCAAGAGTTTAAATCCCCCAATAAGAGCTGTGTTCATAAATGGAACTGTTTGAAATTCTTTTATGGTTTTAGTTTTAGTTAAAGGCAGGGAAGGTGATTTGGTTCAAAAACATTTTTTGTTATGCTGGTTGAAAGTCTGTTCACATCCCGATAGCAATCACTAAGTTAAGTGCTCTAAATGTATTTATATCGTCTGTGGAAGGTGTAGGACCATAAAATGTTCGTCCAATCACATTCCTCGGCCCGAGGATTACGATAGGCTGTCCTACCTGCCTGTCGACGTATGTATTTGCATACCTCCTCGCACCCTGTTCGCGCAGACATGATACGTCATCAGCGCATTCATTATGCTGTGTGCTTTGCACTGTAATGTTTTCTCACCGGTGAATGAGACATGAGCTAATCTGACAGTGTTGACTCCGTCTGTCATCGTGTCGCTGGTTAACCTCTGCTCTGCCCGTGTTTTGGAGGAGGCGTGGCTTTGGAAAGTGATTATACAGGAAGGGTGGGATCTTATGCTTTCAAACGCTGCTAGCCTCTCCGAAATCATCTACCCTACCTTTAACAACAATCTGATCCAAAAAATGTTATTTTGGGGCGGGGGTGGATTTTGGGTAGTTATATGAAAGTTTATAAAACGGAGAGTTCCGGTCCTTAATTCTGATTGGCTGAGCCGCGTTCGAAGCTGTTGTAAATTACTCTACAAACACACACCTTTGTTTACTTCTGTGTGTTGCTCGGCAACCACTTTGTTGGAGCTACATTGTTTGGTGGAAGAATACTGTTTTTATTAATATCATTACACTTTATTTGCTCTGTTTTATTTTGTGAAACCTTACTACGTATATGGAATAACCGTTTTATAAAAGCAATAAGCTCCGCTTCGCGTCGTACCTAACAACGACCCTTAGCTGTTATAAATTCACTGTAAACCACGGCTTCACTGGGCTTATTGCTTTAGTATACCATTATTCAAATACCACTATTTATATAACATTTATTTTAATGTGTATGCTTGTATTCAAGGTGTAAAGAAAATGTATTATTACTTTTCATTCAATGAAGTCGTTTAATCAAAACATTTGTTGAAGATGGTATAAAAGTTCACAGAATACAAGAATTACATTTTTAAGAACATTTCTTGGTGTATGTCTTTTAACCTTTATTTTTAACCCTCTAAAGTCTGACATATGAAATAATAGTTGTTTTTTTAATTAAATGATTTATTGAACTTAGACAAAATCTAAAAAAAAAAATCACGTGTTTATATCATATTTGATACATCAGGCTCAATCTGAGCACAAATATGCAATTTGGTGCAGATGCTGATATTAATATGTTTGATAGCTTGTAGATCAATGAGATCTTTATAACAGATACTTACATGAAATGATCTAAATATGAGTCGTCATTCTGTATCTCCAATAATATGTCTTAGTAAAATGAGATTGAAATGATCAAAACATTCAATGCATTGCAATCCAATGCTGATTGAGAGCCCTTACAGAAAAGTCACATGAATTTCACACATTTTTCACATGTGATCACATGGGTTTCACATTTATATGAGTGTCACATGTGATCCTATGGGTTTCACATGGGATTTTACATGGGATTCACACAAAAATGTTCCAAAAACACACATTTCCCATGTGCATTTCACATGTGTTTTTAACATTCTTTTATTTTTCACATGTGATTTTAACATGTTTCACATGTGACTTTAACGTGTCACATGTGATTTTCACATGTTTTCACTCGTGAAATTTCACATGTGCAGAATCACATGTGTATGTGGCCACATGTGACCACGTGTTTTTGCACATGTGAAATTCATGTGGTTTTTCTGTAAGGGAGATGAAGAAATAAAGGCTCCTCAGAAGATGTGAGATGTTCTGGAGGCTTGTGAAGATCATTCCTCCGCTGAGGAACAGTGAAAGTAAAGCTGCTGGAAACAAACGCTCCTCAAAAGATCCTGAGGATCAGATTTGAGACTCTAAAAAATGATTGATGGAGAATCAAGTAAAGCCGAGCTGCTTCAGTCCAGTAAGTGTTCATCTGGAGATATTACTGCAGTTATTCTGACGTTTACTTGATTCAAATTAGTAAAGATTTGACAGAAAACAGACACGTGAAGCTCGAGCTGAAGCTGGACGTTTGTAAAATTACACTAAAAGAGCTTTTACTGGATAAAAAACTCTAAACTGTCAATCAGACGACAGAAGACATGGAGTAGATTGTGTGTGACAGCAAAGTTTGATCATGCGTGTACCTGCATCTCTCTGTCTCCATATTTGTTGGGGTGGCGACTAGCTTGGCTCTTCCTCCGCAGCTTCTTCAGCTGTGATTGGCAGCGCTCAATGGACTCCACCTTTGTCTTCCTCTCACTCTGGTACTTCTTCAGCGTCGCCTGGACAAAGGTTTTCATTCAGTATATCAAGTTCTGGTAAGTTTCAGAGAGTCCAGGAGGAGTAGTTCATTCCCATATTAATCTTTTCTGATTCATTTACTCAAAGTGTTTACAAGACAAACTCTGTGTTTACTTGTTTGAGCTCCCCTATTTAGTGAATTCAGTAGGTTGTTTAGTTAGGCAGTGATGTCCACTCACGGTCAGATATTTGATGTCTAGCTCCAGTTTCTGCTCGAGTTGAGACAGCAGCTCTGAATGAAACAGCTTTAGCTGCAGACAGACAGAAAACACAGCAAATACAGTGAGTATGGAAACACCGTAGAGATCTATCTGTAGAGATATCTACACATTTCTATTGGCACTTTTAACATTTCCTCTTATTTCTTGATTTGTTGCGTACGACTAGCATTTCTTGTGGCACTCTGGTGTTTTGTCTCAGAAGATGGCTTCTTTGCAGCACCTGCTAAAGGAATTATGACATAAAATACTACACATCATAGTTTTTCTCACTATAGGTAACTTTTTCAAAACTCTTCATACAGTGAAGCTCAACAGCGTCTATGTGGGCTACACTCAATGAAAACATCTTTCAAATGACATGAATTCTTTTCTCACTCAGACACAGACAATGCCAAAATTATATGTACCTACAGGCCAATATGCACATTTTACACTTTTCAAAACGGTTACAGTAAACTTAAGTTCAAACAGTAATACCACACTTCTACAGTAATACCATGTCAAAATATATTCTAAATATAAAAAAAAATGAACGGACTAATTTTGAATTGTAATGTAAACGTGGACCATGTAATATTATGGCAGTGAGCCGTCTTTTTTTTTTTTTTTGGTGTAAAGAAATTTTACAAAAAAAAATTGTTTTTTTACAATTTCTATGACTTCAAAGCCTTCTTGATCCCCTACTGAGCAACAGTGTGTGTGTGCGGCTTGGTATCTCTCCCTCCCTCTCGTCCACCCCCGCTGTTTTCAGCAGCACAATGAGATCATGTGGTGTTGTTAATCTTTCAACAAAGACCTCTCTCTCTTTTGCCCCTCTCTCGCTTTCTCTTACTTTCTTCATCTCCATTTTATCGTACAGGCTTTGCCTCTTCATTCTCTTCTGCTGTAGTCACTTGTTTTTATGCTTTCGTTTCCTGTGAACACTGATGTACTATGAACTTGAACAATGTAGTTATATTTACTTACATTTTCACAATCAGTTCTCACCATTAACTTGACTCTGCCGGAAGTGTCGCTTCAGAAACATTTCAATAAAACATTTAAGATGAAATTGAAGTGCAGACTTTAAGCTTTAATTCAAGGGGTAGAACAAAAAGTATAACATAAAATGCTTAGGAATTACATCAGTTTTTATACACAGTCCCCCCATTTTCAGGGGCTCAAATGTAATTGGACAAATAAATATAATCATAAATAAAATGTTCATTTTTGATATTGTGTTGAGAATCCTTGGAAGGCATTGACTGTCTTACGTCTGGAGCTCATGGACATCAGCAGAGACTGGGTTTCTTCTTTGTGATGCTTTGCCAGGTCTTTACTGCAGCTGACTTCAGTTGTTGTGTGTTTGTGGCTCTTTCTGTCTTTAGTCTTGTCTTCAGCGAGTGAAATGCTGCTCAATCAGGTTGAGATCAGGAGATTGACTCGGCCATCACAGAATAATACACTTTTTAACCTTCAAAAACTCCTGGGTTGCTTTTGCTGTATGTTTTGGGTCATGGTTCATTTGTACTATGAAGCACCGTCAGACTTTTTTCTTCCCGTCATTCTGGTACAGGTTGGTCTTTATTTCAGTCGTCCAAAGAATGCTTTTCCAGAAGTGCTCTTGCTATTTTAGATGTTTTTTGGCTAAGTCTAATCTGTCCTTGTTTGCAGTTTGTGGTGAAGCCTCTGTGTTTGCTCTGGTGAAGTCTTCTCTTGATTGTAGACTTTGACAGAGACTCGTCTGCCTCCTGGAGAGTGTTCTTCTCTTGGCTGATGTTGTGAAAGGGTTTTTCTTTACCTTTCTCCGATCATCAGCACTGTTGTCCTCCGTGGACGTCCAGGTCTTTTTATGTTTCTGAGCTCACCAGTGCGGTCTCTTTTTCTCAGAATGAACTAAACTGTTGATTTGGCCGCTCCTGATGTTCCTGCTATCTCTCGGATGGATTAGTTGTGTTTTTGAAGCCTAACAATCGTCTGTTTCACTTGTATTCACTTGTACTTATATATATATATATATATTTATACAGTATATATATATATTAGGGATTCACGATATTATCGGACTGATATCCGAATCGGCCGATAATGGCTTTAAATGTACATATCGGCATTGGCCCGATATGAAAAATTATGCTAATATGTCTTGCCGATAAGAGGAATACATTAACTCACAAGTGGCAGCAGTGACAGCCTCCCCCGGGTCCTAATGCCCGCTTTGTAAGGAGTTGTAATCTGTAGGGGGCGCTGTTTGCCTACTTCTAATTAAATTAAAAGTAAAATAGCCTACACAAATAACATTTAGGCTGTGTTTCTGATTAAATAAAGCAGTAATTGATGTCATAAAATAATGAGTATGTTTTGATTTAAAGGTCAGAAGTTATAGCTTACATGAAAAAAAATGACAAACATGACAATTTTATATATACTGATTTATTATTTTTTAAACACATCATAAGCTCTAAAAGATTTTCAGAGTTTTTACAACTCTTTTGCTTTAGACCATCTACAAATGTTAAATCTTAAAATAAAATGTTAGGGTTAACACTGCATCCTTCTGGGGGGGAAAATGCAGCGATTGATATATAGTTTATTTATAGCTATTTTCAAAGCTTCAATGTACTGTCAAAAAACCTTCATTATTGTTTATTTAATTCTAACAAATAAGTTCTTGTTAAAAACTAACCAAAATTAAAAATATTTTGCTTATAATTTCTGCACAGGAGAGACTTGGTGTTGTTTCCAAACAAAAAGAAATATATCGGTATCGGCCAAAATGAGTTGAAAAATATTGACATATCGGATATCGGCAAAAATCCAATAGCATGCATCCCTATAATATTATAACATCATTAACATGTTGCAATATTTTCACTTTTATCAAAACAACAGTCTTGTCTAATAAAAGCTTGTTTCCGTCCTAAAAAAACATCTGCACAAATCTCTTGTTTTATGCCAATTTATTTGAAATAATTAAGTGGAATTACATGACAACATCAGTACTTTAATTGCAAATGTGCTGTAAGTATACTGTACTTGCAATGACTTAACTTTGGTGCAATACTCAGGTTGTGAACCAGACCATACAATTAGTTTGAGAGATTATTTAACTTTGAGGACATTTATTTACTCAAATCTTTCTGGTATTTTCACTGTGTTTGGGTTTGAAGTGTCTTACCCAGTTCTTTCGAGCCCTGGCTGTCACTGGCCAGCTCTCCTAGTTTGACCAGAGCATCGAAATAACCCTTTGCTGCTACTGTGACGCCTGGAGAGATAGAAAAAGAGACAGAGACAGAGAGAGAGAGCGAGCATGGGCATGTTACAGCAGTCTGTGTGCTACAGAATCCATGATTGTTTGGCAGGTGAAGTGCTAATGAACATGCATCCAAGTTCACACTAATTTCCAGTGGACTTTTGCCCATCACAAAGAAAATGAACTATTACATTATTACATGATGTCTGACCTGTCAGAGCCTTTTCATAGTGTTTGCAAATAACATTTAGGCTGTGTTTCTGATTAAATAAAGCAGTAATTGATGTCATAAAATAATGAGTATGTTTTGATTTAAAGGTCAGAAGTTATAGCTTACATGAAAAAAAATGACAAACATGACAATTTTATATATACTGATTTATTATTTTTTAAACACATCATAAGCTCTAAAAGATTTTCAGAGTTTTTACAACTCTTTTGCTTTAGACCATCTACAAATGTTAAATCTTAAAATAAAATGTTAGGGTTAACACTGCATCCTTCTGGGGGGGAAAATGCAGCGATTGATCTATAGTTTATTTATAGTTTTGTGTTATAACTATAATGCTATTAAAAAGCTAAAGTGCTTATTTGATTAAAGTTGTTATGTGGCAGAAAACACATATCATATAGAGAATTCATAAAGAGGTTATTAAATTTTTTCATTATTTATGTCAATTATTTTTGTTGATATATGCATTTTTTTTGCACAAACATGTGTATAAAACAAATATGAAGAAAAGATTACATTTCTAAGATCTTGGCGCATATGTTTTAAACTAAATTTTTCAAAGACGTCTCCTTTTATCATCTTGGATCGTCTATTTATTGTTCCCTTTCATTGAACACATACCTTGTAGACATTTTCTGTCATTTTGTTGACCTCGTCTGATCGTGACATTGTGCTTCTCTCTCCAGATCAGTTCACCTCACTTCTAGACGTCACGAAGTCACAGCACACGTGGCTACACAGAGAGAAAGAGATCAAGAGCATGAGACGTAGAGGATGGATCCGGCTCATGCAATGACCAACTAGTGTGTCTGCATTAGCTAGAGATCTGCCTTAAAGAAGAGTGCTGGCAACCAACCAGTTCACGGCAGCCATTGACTTCCATAGTGTTTTTTTTTCCTCCATACTATAAAAGTCAATGGCTACCATCAACTGTTTGGTTTCCAACATTCTACAAAATACCTTTTTGGTGCTCAACAGAAGAAAGAAGCTCATACGGGTTGATTTGACAACTAATGACAGAATTCTAATTTTTTTGGGTGAACTATTCCTTTATGAAATTGTATCTAGAATATTTAGATGTTTGGCTCACATCAGAGTTTACAGTGATGTGTTCACCTGCTCTTATTCTTAAACACTGACACTAACTGAAGTGGTGATAACAGCCCCACTGGCCTCAGGAATGCTTTCCTCTAGATGTTATGACACTGCTGAAGGGATTTGCTTCTATTCAAGCACGAGAGCATTAGAGAGGTCAGGCATTGTGTGATTGTATGATTAGGCCAGACTCGTAGCCGTCGGCCCAGTTTATCTCAAAGGTCTGGACTCATCGAGATCCTCCACAACTGTCTTAACAAACCATTTTTGTATGGATGAGCACAAGGATATTGGCATTCAAAACCAAGAAGCCAGTATCACAAAAGAATGGTCTAAAATATCAGGATTTTTCTTCAGTCCAAACCATGGAAAATTCATGACAGCTTCAGATATTGAAACCAAACCATCACCAAAAAGTGATATTTCATTTCTCCTGAGGAATTAGGAAGGAATTAGTTTTTTTTTCCTGCAGGAATTTGACTTGTTCTGTTGGACAGGTGGAATCCTAAATCATTTTAAACAAAAATTAGACATGCAGCATTGCTTATATCAAGTCAAATCAATTTTAATTCTATTTTTTATTGATATAGCACACAATACACATTGTTTTAGATAAGCTTTTCAGAAAATCATAATGTGAATGTTATAATATCTTAAAGTCAGATTAGAGCTGGATGATAATATAGTTCATTTTTTTTCCAATATAAACATTTTACATTTAACGATATAAACAATCAAGCTGTTGAGATTTGCTATACAGCATACAGTATATTGCTTTGCATGAGTGTACTGTATGCAGATAAAGTAGGATGTACTATATTTCCAACTTTTAATATAGCATTATTAAAAGAGCATTAAAGAGCACACATTTTCAATAAAGCACAATTTTATTAATCAACTTCATTCTGCTAGCAAATCCAATATCTGTTGTAACAGAAAAATGCAAAATCTATGTAGTCAGGCTGATTCAGTCATGAAAATGTTTCTACCTAAATGAAACCAATTATGTAAGATGGTTATTTGACAAAACCTTTCATGGAGTTTTTACCTTGTGAATATTTTTTCAATGTACACTGTACATAATTCCTTACATTTCAAAATAAGGACCACCTCTGTTAGTGACCCTCGAGAGATTTCATAGTCTGAGTCTGGCCAAAGCCGTCCTAATGCACTGTTATTGCATGTCTTAAGTTCATGAAATTGAGTCTGACATGCAGTGCCCTGGAGGAGAGCAGTTCTTCCCAAGCGCAAGAGTCAAGCCACTGAATAAACACTGTGCTCACACGGC